GAGTCTCATTTTGTCGCTCTCCAAATACATACTCCCGTGTCAAGAAAGTCTTGAAGTCTCTCCACCTGGTGGCCAGGGCAGATAACATCTTCCTCCTCATGACCTCAGTGTTGGGAATGTCAAAATTTTGCTATGAAAATAACAACAATTAATAAATAATGTATTTAAGTTATATAATATTCAAGGGATGTGAAAGTATATACCTGAATATCCTGCCACATGAGGTTCTTGTCAACCTCCTGAACGTCATCCCATGATGGAATGATAATAGAAACATGTCGTCGAGCTAGGACTCCCAAATAGCTCTTAAACTTAGCAGCATTTGGGCCTGATGCCTTGCCAGAATGAAGATCCACCTCAACCGGTGTCCTCTCCTTGGCAATGCGTCCAGCTGTCAACCCAGACAATCGGGTGACAGATCTACCTTCCCTCCTTCCACTGCCAGACCCAAAATCCTCCATAATCCTGAAAAAATTAAACTTTCATTATAAAAACAATGAATTAACTGAATAGACAAATAAAGTAAAAAAGATAATAACAATATAGCAACAAAATAACTAATAAAAAAACAAATAATACACATAGATGAATTTACTCCTCAATGGTCTATTGTTTATATACACGAAACTATTTCTAAAATATCTCTTAGATTCTAACAGAAAAAATAAATAATCAATCTTTTCTAATTTTCATAACAAACTTTGTTAACAATCTGTTAACAAGAAGTTGTTACGGTATTACCCCCCTCAAGTGGGAGCATGGAGATTGATAATGCCCAACTTGCCTAAGAAGGATTCAAACTGCGGTTTTTCCAAAGCTTTTGTGAAGATATCTGCTAGTTGACCGGTAGTAGAGACATAGGTTGAAAGAATATTGTGGCGAAATACTTCATCACGAACAAAATGACAATCTACTTCTATGTGTTTGGTACGTTCATGAAACACCGGATTTTTAGCAATGTGCGTTGAAGCTTTGAAGGCACTTCCTCGTCCGCTGGACTGCAAACTCATCCTGTCGCTCGAGCGTTCGACACACAGGGAGAGAGACTTGGAGGGTGCGTATTTTGTTGTTTTCGTTTAGCTGTTGGGGTTTTATGCCTGCTGATGTGCTCTGATTTCTGTACTTAGGTATTGTGGGAAAGGACCTGTGGCGTGGCTGGAAGCAGCGCTATGGCTACAATGTGGCCGGGCTTGAGGGTCCTTAGGTCCAGGGGGAGGAGGAGGTTTCCCCCCTGAAGATAAACTGGAAGAGGAAAAGGGTCCCGGCGGAGACTGGGGGAGTCGCTGCCCCTCACGAGGCGGAGGGGGTTGTTGCAGGGGCCTTCGGTGTCGAGCCGGCGGGCTCAGCAGGGACCTCTCTATCGGGGGGGGCTCGGGTGGCGGAGCTGGATATCGAGCCCCTCCGCCCTTCTGCTGGAGTGCCTGTGCAGGCTGCTGGTCGAGGGGTAGGGGCTATTTGTCACCTTGTTAGCTTTTCCTTTGCATGCTTTTGCTTAGTGTTTCTGAGTTGGGATCGTTCCTCGTAGGTGGAGGCTGTCGTTGGGTCGACTTCCCGGGCCGTTGGCCAGGCTGGTGTGGCTTCTGAAGCGGAGATTCCGACCGTTGGGCGGCTCGCTCCTGTTGTTGAGGTGGGCAGCGTGTGGCTGTGATCTGCTACTTTGTTGTGCCTCTTGTTTAGTTGGTGAAATTTTTATATTTTTTGCTCTATATTTTTTGTAGGCGGGGAGGACCGCAGGGGTTTCTGATGGTCGAAGGTCACCGGTGGTGGGGGGTAACGTCCCGGCGACTGGACCAGCGGTTGGGCCGGTGGCCTCCTCCTCCTCAACCGGTCGTCGTGGTGAGGGCTCTGGCTCTGGGGCTCCGGCTCCTGCGCCTGCGACGAGGGGGCCGCCCAAGCGTCCCTACCTTGCGTATCGTTATGCGCAGGAGGGTGCGCCAACACGGTTGGAGCACCTGAGTGCGTCGGAGGGGATCGACTCTTGGTGGAGCGCCTCGCTGACGCCTGAGAAGTTTTTTCCGCAGGGCTCCTTGAGTGCGGCCGATCAGGCGATGTTTGAATCCGCCGGGCCCGTGGCAAGTTTCGACGCTGCCCAGATCTTTTTGCAGAGGGGCACGACCATTGTGGATTATTGGAAGCGCAAATGGTCCCGGCAGCAGGAGGAGTTATCAAGGTTGAAGGGCCAGGTGCAGCCCTTGATGGAGGAGAATAAAGTTCTGGCCGCCACTCTGTCCGAGGCGAAGCTGCAGGGGGTCGAGCTTCAGGCGGCGCAGAGGGATCTTGCCGAAGCCCGGGGATCGTTAGAGGTGGCCCTCCGTTCTAACGAGGCTTATGCTAGCCAGGTTCGCTCTCTGGAGGAGGAGATATCCTTTTGGAAGGGTGAACTGGCGTCCGTATCTGAGGAACGTCTTTGCGACGAGGTGGTCCTCAGTACTAAGGAGGCGGAGGTGGTCCATCAGAGGGAGAGTCTTTCGGCTCTAGAGGCCGAGAATGCAGCGTTGAGGAAGAGACTCGAGGAAGTCGAGCGCTCAATCGTGGTGGAACATAAGAGAGGCTTCCTCAAGGCGGCCCGGCAGGCTAGGCTCCTTGCGCCGGGGTTCGACTTTTCCGGGATGCACTTGGAGAAGGTTGTCCGCTTCGGGCGGTTAGTCCGGGAGGACGACGTCGAGGAGAGTTCTAGTGACAATGCCTCTGTATAGGATCATTTTTGTATTTCCTGTTTCTGACTGTCTTATGAATTATACTTCTCAGTTATGCAAGTTTTGTTTAGGTGTTGCTATTTCCACCCTGATTTTTGTTACGACGAAGTTCGGATTGGCTTTTTTCCCTGTGTTTTTTGTGGTGAGGTTTATTTGCAACCGTTAATAATGAGGTTTCTTTCTGTCTTGTGACGGGGTAAGATGGGGTTCATTTTCGACCTTTGTTTGAGTAAAGTGGGGTTCGTTTTTGGTCTCCACTTGAATAAAGTGAGGTTCGTTTGCGACCTCTATTTGAGTGAAGTGAGGTTCGTGTTCGACCTCCAGTTGGGTGACGTGAGGTTCGTGTTCGACCTCTATTTGAGTAAAGTGAGGTTCGTTTTCGACCTCTATTTGAATGAAGTGAGGTTCGTTTTCGTCCTTTATTTGAGTGAAATGAGGTTCGTTTTCGACCTCTATTTGAGTGACGTGAGGTTCGTGTTCGACCTCTATTTGAGTAAAGTGAGGTTCATTTTCGACCTCTATTTGAATGAAGTGAGGTTCGTGTTCGACCTCTATTTGAGTAAAGTGAGGTTCGTTTTCGACCTCTATTTGAATAACCGGGTAATAGCACCGTAAGGGATTTCGAGTATATAAAAGAAACGAGTCATTTTATTGACGAAAGCCGTGTGCCTCGTTGAAAACCCTTCTCAGTTAGTGTGTTTTTCCTGAGGTGGGAAAAGAGTGCACCATCTATTTGTACAAAGTTTAACTGAATTAAAATTTGAGGTCGGTAGCGTTCCAAGTTCGTGGAATGGGCTTCCCGCTAAGCTCCTCTAGCCGGTAGGCTCCGTTTTCCATGTTTTCTGCGACTCGGAATGGGCTGCCCCAAGTGGGTGCGAGCTTCCCGTCTGACGTGTCCTTTCGTGCCTCTCCGAGTAGCCGCCATACCAGGTCGCCTTCCCGGAAAGACCGGGATTTCACCCGGGAGTTGTATCTCCGGGCGGCCCGGAGTTTGCAAGCTTCTGCGTGGATTTGGGATTCGTCTCGGAGCTCGTCTAGCAGGTCGAGGTCCGTTGCTAGCTCGTGGTTATTTTGTTCATTGTTGAAGACTTGGTGTCGGTGGGATGTTTGTCCGACCTCTACCAGGATCATTGCGTCGGCTCCATAAGTTAGTCTGTAAGGTGTTTCTTGCGTGGTTGACTGTGGGGTGCAGTGGTATGCCCAGAGGATGCCGGGAAGCATGTCGGGCCACTCCCCTTTTGCGTTCCCTAGCCGTTTCTTGAGTTCCCGGAGGATGACCTTATTGGCTGCTTCGGCCTGGCCGTTGGTTTGGGAGTGCTCCACCGAGGTCGGCAAGTGCTTGATTCCGAGTTCTTGGAGGAAGACTTCGAATTCTTCTGCGATGAACTGCCGCCCGTTGTTAGTGACAATGCTGTGGGGAATTTCGAATCTGCAAATAATGTTTTTCCATGTGAACTTTCGCACGTTTTCCGTGGTGATCTTGGCAAGTGAGCACGCCTCGATCCACTTGGTGAAGTAGTCGATTGCCACCAGGAGGAACTTTAACTGACCCTTCGCGGGGGGGAAAGGCTCAAGGATGTTGTTTAAGGACGATGCTGCTCTAATGTCAGCTGTCATCACCGGTGTTGTGAATGTTGTTGCAACATGTGTCTCAATTTATGGAGTTGATAAGTGGGGTAGGAGAGCCCTTTTCCTTGAAGGTGGAGTTCAGATGCTCATATGCCAAGCTATAGTTGCAATTGCTATTGGAGCCAAGTTTGGAATCGATGGAAACCCTGGTGATTTGCCACAGTGGTATGCTATTGTTGTGGTTCTCTTCATTTGCATTTACGTGGCAGCATTTGCATGGTCTTGGGGTCCCCTTGGTTGGTTGGTGCCTAGTGAGATCTTTCCATTGGAGATTCGTTCGGCTGCTCAGAGTATCACTGTCGCGGTCAACATGCTCTTCACTTTCTTAATTGCGCAAGTCTTCTTGCAAATGCTTTGCCACATGAAGTTTGGCTTATTCATCTTCTTCGCCTTCTTTGTGTTGTTCATGTCATTCTTCGTTTTCTTCCTTTTGCCCGAAACCAAGGGTATTCCAATTGAAGAAATGCCTAAGGTGTGGAAGGCACACCCATTCTGGGCCAGATTCGTTCAACATGATGATTATGATAACGGAGTTCAGATGGGAAAGGGATCTAGTCAAGTGTAGTTAATTAATTAGTCCTTTATTTTTGTTGTTGTTTTTTTCTTTTTCCTTGTAAATCATCCTATTGATGTTCGAGTCAGTTTTAATGTATTGAATTGTTTTTATGAAAAAGTTCTTTATTTTAGAAATTTGTCTTCTGTCAGGAGAATTTTTTTTCTTTTTCAAAGTCCACCAACAATCATTTTAAAAACCCACTTTCTATCGATTTAAGTTTAATGTATAGTACATCTATAATACGTATTTTTTTTTATGATACCACTTTCTTTATTAAATTAAGAAACATATTTTGATTTTTTATTTTTGTTATTTTAAATTTGATCTACTAGTTTTAAGGAAAGAGAAAAAGTGATTAAAAACAAAGGTTTGGAAAGAATTTGAATTTAGAATTGACATCTTATTGGTCAGTGAGTTTTAGACTTAAATTACAGATTTGATTTTGGTTCAGGTTAAGAAAATAACATTATGCACAACATACCTATCATATATGTATGTGACTTGTTGATATTAATCTCTTGGTAATTAGAATGATTACTAGAACATTAACAATGGAATATACGAGACAGTGCCTTTAACTTCCCGTAATAGGCTACCATGGACAACCCTCTTTGTTTGCATTGTGCCAGTTCTGATTTCAGCTGATGAATTCGTGGGCCATTCACAACTGAGAATCTTTCTTTTATGTCATCCCACATCTCCTTGGCAGTTTCCAAGTATGACATGGTTGTTCGCAAAGTTGGCTCAATTGTATTCAAAATCCATGACACCAACATTGCTTGAACAGTCCACCAATCTTCCAAGTCTGAAGATCCTTCTTCAGGTTCTACTATGGTTCCGTTAATGAAGCACCATTTTCTTCTTGCTCGCAAAGACCTTTTCATAGCTCTAGCCCATTCATCATAGTTGTCGCCTTTCAGCTGTACTTGGGCGATCACGTTTCCAGGATTGTCACTGGAATTCAAGTTGTAAGGCGAAGGCTTTTTCTTCTGAGCACCTTTATCCATTGTGTCTGCCATGTTTGCTCTGATACCATGTGAATAATGGTTCCAGATGAATTTACTCCTCAATAGTCTATTGTTTATATACACGAAACTATTTCTAAAATATCTCCCACGTAGACCTCCATGTTTCGCCCGATTTGGTGGTGGAAAACTTTGTCCATCAGTCGCTGGTAGGTTGTCCCTGCGTTCTTGAGGCCGAAAGGCATCACCCGGTAATAGTAGTTGGCGCGATCAGTGATGAAGGACGTGTGTACTTCATCCGGTGGATACATCATTATCTGGTTGTACCCGGAATAAGCGTCGAGGAAGCTGAGGAGGGCATGCCCGGATGCTCCGTCGACTAACCTATCGATGCTCGGCAAGGGGTACGAGTTCTTCTTTACTAGGACTACGTTTGCCAGCCAGGTAGTGTACCTGACTTCCCGGATGAAACCGGCGTTGAGCAGTTTCTGCGTTTCTATGATGACGGCATCCCGTCTTTCGCCGCCAACCTTCCTTTTTCTTTGTGCGACCGGCTTGGCCTCTTTGTGTATCGCTAACCTGTGGCAGATGAAGTTGGCGTCTATGCCGGGCATGTCAGTGTTGGACCAAGCGAAGAGATCGGCGTTCCTGAGGATTTCTTCCTGGAGTTGTTGTCGTAGTTTGGGGTCTAATTGTTTGCTGATCTTTGTTGTTTGGCTGGGGAGCTTTCCGATTTGGACATCGTCGAGCTCATCGACGGGACTGGGCCGCTCATCGTGAGTGTCGGATCTCGGATCGAGGTTGGTGGTTTCCTCGTGGTCAGCACGGGTTAGAACAGTGAAGTCGCTTTTGTGTTGTCTGACTGAGAGGGCAGTTTCTAGGCTGTCTATGTAGCATTGTCGCGCTTCTTGCTGGTTTGCTCTGATGGAGATGATTTTTCCGTCGTGCCCCGGAAATTTCATGGTAAGATGCGGGGTGGACACTACCGCCCCGAGTTGGTTTAGGGTTGACCTGCCGATGATGGTGTTATAGGTGGAGTTGGCCTCCACCAGTAGGTACCGAACCAGGATTTGCCGGGAGGCCGGCGGTGTTCTGAAGGTCGTCAATAGGTCCACTCGTCCTCTGGGGTGGATGGTTGCTCCTGCAAAACCGACCAAAGGTTCGGTGTGAGGTTGTACGAGAGAGTGGGGAATGTCTAACCTGAGGAATGTTGGCCAGTATAGGACATCGGCCGAGCTTCCCTGGTCGACTAGGGTCCTGCGAACTTCCCAATTGGCTAAAGTTACTGTCACGACCATGGGGTCGTCCTGATTTGGACTGATTCCGACGTAGTCGTCGTTGGTGAAAGATATGGTGGGCGAGTCTGGGTGTACAGTATACGTGGCGGGGTGTACGCGGTTGACTTTACGTAGGTGTTTTTTCCGGGACGAGCTGCTGGCGCCGCCCCCTACGAAGCCGCTCGCAATTGTGCTTACTAATTGGTTTGGGGGGTTAGGCCCTGCTCCCTGGTCTTCCAGGTCCCGGACTGTCTCGCCGGGGTCGAGTGGTGAGTCGGAGGGACGATCGGGGTACCGCCATTGGGTTTGAGCGCGGGCAGTTGTGCTCTTTAGGATTGTCAGGTTGGTGACGCGGGTCGAGTCTCCTGAAGCTGTATGTTCGTTGCTCATTTTGCTTGGGTGCTCGTCTGATACGGTTCCTGGTACTAACCGTGCGGGTAGCCGATAAGAGCTTGGTCTGATCGACCCCACGGTGGGCGCCAAATGTTCTTACCGAAAATCTGCTGTGGAGCTGATCCGCCAGGTAAGATTGATGAGCCTCCTTCACTGGTACACTGATGCTCCAAGATGGGAGTGATACCTGCAAAAGAGACTCCGATGCTAAAGTTAGAGTTTGCACGAATAATAGTCTCATATATATAATGCACGTACCTTGAGGTGGTTTAGGGTTGTATTGGGCCCTGGGCCTGAGATGAGGTCTCCGGGTTCGGGTGTGATCTGTCCAGGCTCCGAGCTGTTATTGTTCAGCGCGTGCCTGGTATGACCTTTGTCTCGCTAATCCGAGCTTAGAGCCCGGATGCGGGATGCGACCAGTACATAAATAAAAAAGAATAAATTCAATAAACATTTCCCTCTATTTCATAATGATTTAGAAGAAAAAAAAAACTAAACGTAATTAAGACTCACAAATAACTACCACTATTCCTTTTCTCAATTTTTAAAAAATAATATAAGCTTGATAATTTCATTTATCTTTTCTCCTCTTTATTTTTTTTTTTTTCTGACTTCACAAACAAACGTGGACTAGATTCAACTTGCATTGATTGCATAATCATATCTACAGCTTTGTAACATCTCCTTGTGATTAATATTTTTATACGCACATGAGTTTTTTTTGGTATATATATATATATATATAAATTATCCATTTATTTCAAGAATAAGTTTTGGTAAACTAATAATTTTACTTAATAATTAATGTTATATATAAAATTTTAATGATTCAATTGTTGAATTAATTTTTTTTAATACATATATATAGATCAAGTTTCTAAAATTTTAAAGAATTTAAAAATTATTTGATATTTTGTTTTATAAATTCAAATCAATGTTTAAAATATTTTGATTATTCATCATTTTAAATTAATAAGACTGAGTATTAAATAATTTTTTAAGTTTTTCAAAAATTTGCAAACTTAATCATACATAAAGAATTTTTAAATTAACAGTTGGATTATTAAATTAATTTTAATATTAAATATGAGTTATTTTGTGAAATAAGTTTAAGTAAATTTAAGTAAGTGAATCCTTTCTAATATATATATATATATAAGGAAGAGATCAAATAAAACTAGTGTAACACTTTTACCAATTTTTACACAATTCAATAATTTTATATTAGATGTGAATTTTGTGGATCTAACTATTAAATTATAACTCTATATCACATTGTATATTTATGTTAAATTTTGCTAAAATTTATAATAATTTAAAAGTAATCAAATTATTTATACTTTTATATATTTTAAAATTTATATATTACGTCAATTTTAATTTATATAAATGAGATATCAAATTATTGTTAATTAATATAAAATTTTGTATATATATAATTTAGGAATATTTTTTTTATATTACGGTAAATTTTTAAAAGTTTACATCGATGTAGTTTGTTTCCTCCCTTTATATATATATATGGATTTGTTAAACGTGGATCCTCGTACTCCAGTTTTTTTCCTTTTCTCTGTTTTTGTCTAAGCTCTATTGGCTTTGTAAAAAAGAAACGAATAATATTACTTTCATTTCACATTATTCTAAGATTTTTATAAATCTTTTTATCTCTCTATATCATTTTATTTGTTTTATATATCTCACGATTTTTTTATTATAAAAATTGTGAAAATGTAATGTACAAATAACATTTATCAGACATTAAAAGTTAAACTCACTATAGAAAAAAGTTAAAAATTGATCTCATATATATGCGCCCCCTTCACTGGGATTCCAAATTTAACAACAATCGTTGAACTAATTCTCATATGAATGTGATCATTTTGGATTGCTCAATTTTCAACGAAAATACCCTTTGACCATTTGAAGGAAAGATTTACACAGCATATCAGTAGATTTACCAAGTGGTCAACAATCCATAAAACCTTTTTGAGTGTTTGTCATTCCGTCGGTAGCAATTTACATGATTCTGAGTGGTGTCTAAACTCAAATTAACCAGAATACTAAACCATTAAGTGGAGAATCCTAATGAAGCTGGAAAAAAGGAATTCTTCGTAGGCATTGTAGGCCACCGTTTAATCCGCAACATGAGATTTTACATGCATGAAATCAACCAGAACCTCTTGATTAAGATCTTGACGCTTGTGGTTACCATAGAACAAGTTATTTTCTCTCATGCAAATTTCTCCACGGGTTTCACTGGAGAGTGCATCATATCTCATCTCTAGCACACATTCAAGCTTGTCCTCAATGCTTGTCACATGGACTCCAATTGTTACCATCATTCAAAACACATTGCTTATTGCAGTGAAACACTCACCACAACTTTCAGTGAGACCTGTCACATCAAAATGATGATAATTTAATATATTATACACTCCCAGATAGACAGGTGGATTAATTAATTAGGAATAGGATTAACATGTGACGACTACTATATATAGAAATATGCACTAAATTTAAATCAATAAATTCATGCTACAACAAATTTTTCCCAAACTCGAGAAAAAATAACATGATACAAATGAGAAAAATGATTATCATACCACTATGCCAGTTAAATAAGCATCTGTTCAATAGATAACACTTGAGTTTTGAAAGCCTCCATCTTAATAATGGGTTTGCCTGTTGTTCCACTTGTGAACATGACTGTGAAGATGTTAATTAGTCTTCATTTTCAGCGGTAGGTCTAAATCCATATTTTCCTAGAGAAATGAAAGATACAGTACGTATTAAATATTAAAAAATCTATCTCCCAATACTCAATCAAAATGGTTCTCCATTATAACTATAGACATCAATATTTAATCAAGAAACATGAATGGTTCCTACCCTCTGCAAGATGCATGCACCAAGCTCGATCCTCAGCCTCCTCCTTTTGTGTAGTTGAAACATTTACCAAAACTCAATAGCTACACTAGCAAATTACAGAGGCTGGTTAACATTAATAAAAGATGGAAGACACTTAAACTAATAGTAAAAGAGGCAAAATAGATACAGTTAACTTACTTTTAAGATATGAACACCTAGGAAAGCATGACAAAACTAATAGAAATCAGCGCGGCCATGGTTAGCAGCGTTGTGGATGTTTTGGCCGTTTTCATTGGTAGCACTTTTTTTCCACGGGGAGGAACCACTCATCCCAGCATGAGCGGGTGTGGCAAAGTTCTGGAACACGCTCATCTCGGGCGCATGTTCAGACACGCGCCACACCTTCACCGACTTGTCCAAGCTTCCGGTGTACACAATCCAGCCCTGGTCCCCATTCTCGCGTGGCGCTTGTTCTTCCTCCACGGCGATGCACTTCACGGGACCCGTGTGACCCGTGAGAACCATGTGGCACGTGTGGAACCCGCTCTTGTCGCGCTTCCACACGCAAACGTTCTTATCGGCGGAGCCGCTGAAGACGAGGTTCCCCGCTGCGGCGAGGCAGAGCACGGCCAGCTTGTGCCCCCTCAGAACGCCGCCGTGCGATAGCCCTCCCTTGTGGTCGAGCTCCCAGAAGTTCAACAACCCGTCGGAGGAACCGCAGTATACCACCGCCGCCGAACGGTTCACCGCCAGCGCCGTCACGGCGTTCTCTTGCTTCAACAGAACACGCTCGAACACGTGCTTCGGCTTCTCGCCATTCTCGATTTGCCTCCTCCACATCTTCACCGTCCCGTCCGCGGAACCCGTCAACACGATACCCTTGAACGCCGCCACCACCGCGTTCACAGCGTCTTCGTGCGCGTGAATCGATTCCAAGCACTTGGAATTCGCCACGCGCCACACTTTCAGCGTCTTGTCCCACGAACCCGAGTACAACAACCCCTCCTCCTCATCTAAACTCAGGCTCGAAACGGCGTCGAAGTGCTTCACCTTCACCGCGTTCCGGTTCCTTCGAACCTCCACGTAGTTCTTCGGGTTCATGGAACTCTTCACGTACTCTTTGAACGTGGGCAAGCTCCCCACGCGTTTATGTTTTTTGGGATTCTTGGTGGAAACCTTCCACACTCTGATCTTGCCGTCTTGGTGGCCGGTGAAGATTCTCCCGCCGGAGATAACTATGGTTTTGACCAATCCACTGCTGGATTTGAAGCCGGCGAAGTCCTTGAGATCCTTCCACACCCTTATGTTCTTGCTATCGGAACCGGTGTATAACAAGTCAGCGGAAACCGCCAAGGAGTATATGTGACCCTCTTCGCGGACGAGGGATCCGATGAGACCGTTTTGGAGGAAGTAGTTGTTGTTGTTGAAGAGGTTGAAGGCGGGTGATGAGGGTAATAGCCATGGAGAGTTGTTGAGAGGAGAGGAAGAAGGTTGGTTGGTCCATGGAGACATGGCGTAGGGAGAGGCATTGGTGCTGCTGTCGGCGTAGTTTGTAGGGCTGGCATTGCTGTGGCGGTTGTGGGTGAAGTCTTCGTCGTCGTTGGAGGTGTGAAGCGACGTGGCATCGGAGTGCAACAAGGCTCCGAATTTGGGTCTGTGTAAGGTGTTTGTATTTTGCTCTACTAACATTGTAGCACGGTTTGTGTTTGTCATCCAATAATAAGGGGTGGTTGGTTTGGTAGAAAGCGAGGGAAAAGTTGAGATTTGTGTTTCAGGTTGCGGAATACAATGTTGGGCGACAAAGTCGGGGACGCCTATATATATAGTGAATGTTGGGAGGATGGGTGGGCGACACGTGTTGTGCTGGGAAACCGGGTGAGCCGGTAATGTAGAAACCGAAAATGCTAAGGATTTTTTGTGGGGGAAAATAGGATGAGATTCGTTGCGTGAGGATTCTTGTTGGGTACGTGCTTTTGTGTTGAATGAGAATGCGATTTCTGAATTGGGATGCCTATCTTTGACTTTTTTTTTTTTTTTATTTCTATACTAGGGAAGGGGCTGCGTAATCTTGACCTTCTAGCTCGTCAAAATAACACTTTTTTTTGTTTTTAGGAGTCTACTCGCTTTTATACATGCAGCGTGTCGTTGCTGGACGGTTTCACTCGGATTAATTTCGTTGGATTCAATTATTCAGTTTATTTTATGCTTAATAATGAATACAAGTTACGTATTTACTGTTTTCTATATATAATCAGAGGAGGAAAATCCACACCTGGGTTTAATTTTAGAAACATAAAACTTACGTGCAAAAGGCACCTTCTTTAGTTGCCACAAACGTGCATGCATGCAATACTTTTCAATTTTAATTATCAGTGAAAATTATCATTATTTACCTAATTAACCGTTAATCATTTAATTTACCTGTTTTGAAATTGTCCTCCTTGCCTTTTGAATCCCTTGACTTTTGATTGCAGCTCTTCAGGTTATGCAAATTAAACTAAAAGTGCATTTAACGTACAAAGATTGACAATATGTTATCTTGTCATATAATTCAAACAAGTAATCACCTAACTCTATGCAATGGGAGGCAGGTCAATGTTGAAATTGTTTGATGAATTTAATGTTAATTAATATATGCTGCTACGTATACATCTCTTGGAGAAAAAATGAAAACTTCTTGTGTAGTTCCGGTCCAAATATACATCTTCGATCAATGAGTATCGATTTTTCATATTAATGGTATAAATGCAATTGAATTCTCGCATTGGCTAGCTACAAGCCTACAAGTTACAACAACCAAAAAATAAATAGCATAAAAGCATATGTTAACAAACCTCCCTTTACATATGTATAATTAACTAGCTAGGTTCTTTCGTTCACATGATGAGATTAATTCTTAGTTATTAAACTTTTAGTGACAGGTAACAACGGTAATTAAAGTAATAAAGTGAAGACATATTGTGCAGAGGGGAAACATTAATTAGTTTAATTATTTCAATTTATTAAGAATAAGTTAGTAAGTATTGTCTGTATTATATAAGAATTTTTTATTACGAAAAAATGGCTCAGGATTTGATGGTTTAGATGTACATATGACATCATTTATTTTAATATGTGTGGATCATATGCATAATTGACTAACAATATGGCAAACTATAAAATCAAATTCATACATGAATCAATAAACATGTGAGTAAATATTATCATACATGGCGTGTATGGATTATTAATCTAGCTACCAGCTAGTACTATTTCAACTATTATAAGGTTCAACACGTTCAGTGGGTCAAATTAATTGGCATGTTCCATTCGGTTTCCCTCACAATTTAGGAATTTTTGTCATGACAAAAGACACGCCCAAAAACCTGTCTGTCAAGTCAAAATGTTTGTTGAACCATATAGTCCTTTACGGTACCATATCTAATCCAGAGCTATCCAAATGCCACGGTTTCAGACCCTTCGATTTTGAGCTTACTTAATCGCATAATGTCTGCGCCTCTCACACAAATTGCGTCCATCTACGTACTTAATATTGCTATCAATCTTCAAACGTTGGCTTCAGGACCACTAATTATTTCTGTGAAAAATTGTCTTGCCCAGATCCAACTAATACCTGGCCAAGGATCTTATTCCTTGGTTGTCTTTCCCCTTTCATACTAGCAAACTGTTGCATACATTAATGTAAACTTGAATCTCCTCTGAATATGCTGTTATAAATATTGGGTTAATGGATAATTGTTGTAGAAACTAGATAACATATTTTCCATATCAAACGGGTGAATCAGCATCTATAAGTTTCATTGATTAGCCAAAATTTTATTGTCATCTACAAATTACTCAAAGTCAACTACTCCTTCCATCACAAATTATTTCTCCTTAAGAAAAATAAAAATATTAAATATATTTTTCTTATAATATCATTATTTATTGATATTTCATATAAATATTTTTAACTTTTTCAATAAATCTACTTTTGTCAAAAAATATTTTATTATTTGACCTTAGATATGGAGTAATTAATATTTTAAAAATTTATAAAAATACTAATAATTACATTTTCCCGACATGGTTCGGAAGGTGAAGATCCGAATGCATAAGCATGACGTATTATGTTAGAAGAATGCCGCACAGATACGTGTACATATCAACAAGTGGGCAACCCTACATTATTAATTTTATTGAACTTTTTTGTTCTCAGGTGGTGACCGCCACCTGGCTGCTTCACACAGATCAATCATTCAAACACATACACTTAAGTTTTCCAAATTATAAATTATGTGTTAAATTCACAATTTACAATGCTTTTAGTTTTCATCATGGAGTTGGATCTTAATCATTTTTACTTGTTAACATTAACAGTTTTACAATAATTTTAAATTGCGGTTGCAGTCATAATTACAAGTATTATAAATATTATGATGAGAATTACAGATGTTGCAGTGTGAAATTATTAATTATTTATATTAAATATAAAAAATTTATAATTATTAGCATATATTTTATTTTTAAAGATTTATATATTTTAAATTTTTTTTAAAATAATATTCTTTTAATAAATAATTTAATTTATTTTAAAATTATAGTATTAATTTATTATATTGAAGATGTATTACATATATATTATGGATGCAACACCGTTATATTGTGAAAAAGTGTATGATTTTCGATTTCATTGCAATTTAGTCTGATGTTGTTGTAGACAAGATTGCAACTGCAATATTGTGATTACAACATGTGATACAGTTTGCAATTTAAAACACTAGTTCATGATGAGTGGATATATATAGTTTAAGGTAAGGTTTGAGTTATGAGGGAAATAGTATAAAAGAAAGAATGTGGTGATGCCGTGTAGAAAGTGAAGGATTGTGGAAGAGTGAGTGATGTGTAAAATATCGTGTTGTGAGGAGTAAGGCTAGCATTAGTCCCTCCCATTTAGGGCACGTCTCCCTCAATGAGAGAAGCAACCAAAGTGATTCTATTCAAGTGCTCCCCTTTGGAGGGAACCTAACTGGGCCATCCCTTTACTTAAGGCTCAAGCACGCTCTCATGTCACTGTTACCTCCAACCGTCCAATTTGACGGCCCCGCCTAACATTCCATTTTCCTTTTCCTTTTCCTTTTCCATCCCACTTTTATCTACATGCAATTTACACATCTTCTTAAACATTAAATAATTAATTTCTTTTTGCAACAAACTAATCAAATATATATATAATCATTTACAATACAATACTGATTTCTGTTTTAGATCTACCTCTCACGTTCTTGTTTCGGTAGTGAGGGAAAAATAGAGATTTTGGGTTATTAAAAATGACAAATAAGAGATAACACCTCCATAATAATCGGACAAAGAATTAATTACATGTTGGGATCTTCAGACCAAACATTATTATAATCTTAGTTGTTAATTAATATTTAATAATTTTCAATTTAACTTAATATTTTATTTGTCAAACTAAATATTTATATAGATTTATTAGAAAAAATTTACTTTCTAACGTCAATAGATTTCTTTGAATACATATGTTCATTAAATAAAATTTTATGATTACAAGAGATGCCAAATTTGAGAAATATAAATTTGAACTAAATAATGAATCATTTATTTCAATTCATAATCATTAAAGATTGTGTATGTGGTTGTATTTTTTTTCATTAACATAATTTTTAATCGAAAAAACTAGTTACTTTTATTCTGCCAAAAGCAACTTCTTTAATTGCCAAGGTACATGCATGCAATACTTTTCAATTTTATCAGTGACTATAGTCACTGTTTACCTAACCACTAATGAACTTGCCTGCTTAATATATAGCTCCACCAGTTTTACACTCAGTGAAATCCTTTTGAATCCCTTGACTTTTGATTGAAGCTCTAACTTATCATCTGATAATTCAAACATGTGATCACCTAAATCTATGCAATGGAGAGGCAGGAATTAATTAATGTTGAAATTGTTTCGTGAATTTAATGTCAAATTAATATATGCTGCTGCATATACATCTCTGGCGAAAATAAAATAGTAAAAAAATCTTCTGGTAGTTCCGGTCCAGATGTATATATTCAATTAATACCGGTTTTTCACTGAGGATATGGCTAGTCATGTTCAATTGATTTAGCAGTGAGTGTGAGTTTTAATTAATTCATTATATTTATTCATTCATGTAACAACTAAAACTTGATTTTTTTTAATGTATGTGATCAAAACAATTAAAGTGTAAATCATTAGTATCTACTTAGTAATAAAGGTTGAAATATTATATACAGGTTCTCAGTTCAAATTTTAGTGTCGTTATTATAATTTTAATAAATATATTAAAAGAAATAATAGAAGTACAAATAAGTATAATAACTAAATTAATAAATTAATTAATTAAATATTATATGTTTAATTATATTTTTAGTCCTCTATAATTTTCTTAAATTTTATATTTTAGTTCCTTTATATGTGTATATATATATATATATATATATATATACCACTTTTTCTTTGTAGTTGTTATAATCTATTTTTATAAATGGTTAAAAGGTAAAATATATACAATTAAAGAGACTGAAAATAAACAATAATTATAAATATAAGAATTAAAATAAAATATTGTTAATTATAGAGACTAAGAAGTAAATTTCATGAAATTATAAGAATAAAAAATAATTAAACCAATATTATATATGAAGATGATATAATTTGATAATAAATGGATTTTGTAGACGCATGAATCAACTATAAAAAGTTAATTAGGAATCGTTTATTTTTATATTAAAATTAATTTATTCTATTATCTATATATTTTAATATAAAATT